TTGCTAGCTTCATCAATTCACAATAAGACGAAGTATAAATAATCTTGTGGGATTATAAATTTAGAAATGCTTAAGATATATATTCATTCGTGCTTAGAGCTGCGGTTAATGCTTTCTCTTTAAGAATATAAGATCTGAAACATGCTTGGAATGTATTGTAAGATATAATATTCTACGAAAACAGAAAGGATGAAAAATGTGATTTAATAATTGATTTTATTTATTGAAAAGAATTCTATTTAACTTGATTTATATATGTGTGACGTTCACGTAGAATATATAATAGATACTTTATACCGTTTGCTTTCTGGTATAGATATCTGGCATCCTGGTAATTAAGGCAGTCGTTCATTAGTCATTCGATTTCAATTCCGGATGGCTGAGCACAGGGAAGGGAAATGGTCGACGGACGATTTTCGATAGAGGTTTGATCTCTCGTCTCGATATACGTGCGCGTATTGTTGCTTCGGGGTAGCCCATTAGGTTAGTCATTAGCTGTTAATGGTAGCTCATGAACTCAGATCGATTGGACACAATCGATTGAGCATAATCGCGCTTATTGAAGCGCCGTGTTTCCCGATCAAGCAGAAATCTTGACATTCCCCGATATGCAAAGTTAATAATGTAATAATGTAATTAGTTAATGAATTACGTCCTCTCACATCGCTTTCGGAAAACAAATACTAAAACGTATATTATAAACGTATATTATATTTTTATGCTTTAGGCTTTTAACAACCAAAAATATTCTTTACATTAATCATTGGCAAGTGACATAAAAAAATATTGTTGTATATATGCGTATGAAAAAAATTGTGGACGTTAAAATTAGATTGGTTTCAATATCTGCTGGTAAATAAAAAACATTTTGGTAGAAGAATATTGTGAAAATAAATAATATAATTTTTATGATCAAATAGTTATTATTTTTGTCAGCAATTTTAAACGTTTGTTTTTTAACTATGATCAATGAAATGAAATTAACTCGAGTGATATCGCGATTTGCGAATAATAATTAAATTTTTCTATACATGTTGATCTCATATTATCATGAATCATATGATTTTTGAGTTAACGCACGTATGAGGTCGCACTCGTAAAATTCGACTTTACGATGCCGTTTCTTCTAAACGAGTGCGGAATCGCCTGTCGATAAAATCCGCCATTAAGAGCTGAAAGATCATTTATCATCTCGATGTAAGCTTAAAATGATCGTAGTCGTGCATATGAGTTCCGTTACTAGCAAATTTTGCAAATAGTATTTACTAAATTTTCAATCTATGTGTATATCAAAAAGCACTGACTAATGCGACTTGCAAAATTACTTTCCGTATTTTTTAATCAGCTTTTATAAGATATTTATTTGGTTGATATTTTTGTGATAATTTACAGTTAAATAGATTATAAAAATAAAAGTATTAGTTAGGTATTGCAAGAGATATTATTTTACTGAAATAATATTAATATCATTATTTAATGCTTTATCTAAAACACTAAAAATTTATGTTTTTTTATTTTAACTATTTAACAAGGTTTAAAAATTTTGCTTACTGATTTTTTAAAATCTGCATTTTTACATCTTCGTTAATAACGCATTGGTTTAAAGCTCGTATTTACTACGTTTTTAGCCGCAATGCTTTTTGTTTTCCTAGATATGAAACAAACATAACGGTCGACATGGTATATCGCGACGAGTATTAAACTCAGTAATAGTTGCTGTCGGATTTGTAAATTCGAGCAACGGATTTAACGTGTTGCGCTGTGAATGCGTGCATTGTGGAACAAACAGTGACGTGGACAATGCCACCTAAATCCCTCGGAATACTCCAAAATTCTGTCAGGCTTTTTATCGTACTGGAGGGCACCTCTTAATTATGCTATATACTTTTTCTCGTTATTTAAAAACTGTAGCGACTCTTATCATTGTCACAGTGGATTACCCATTGCTGCATTCTGGGACAGATAGCACACTACTTTACCTCAATGTTATTTAAATTTGTGCCAAGTTTACAAATTGATATTGCGATACAATTTCTATTAAAAATTCCTTTAGCGGTTAAAATATTAACAAATTGATTACCATTTCGGCGATAATAGGTACAATAAAAAACGTATATTTGTTTTTTTTATTAATTTTGACATACATATGCAAAACGTTTTAAAAAAAATTGTACTCTACCATCGGAATCGAAGAGGTTAAACTGTAATTGTATTGAAAATCAAGTAATAAAAATTGCAGCGGCTTAAGATCCACTAATGGCTCCCCTAATGGAAGTAATTTACTCCTTCTTCATTCTGTGAAATCTGCGTGATGAGAAGCGATGTTGTCGACCGAAAAAGTGGAACAGGAAGCAAAAGTCTGTGGTGTCTATTAAGAAGTCCGCTGAATATTAACGCGACGAAACGTTTTCCGACGCCGCGGCGCCGAGATTAACGAGGCGATTATTAAAATATGCAGTACGCCGGCCTAATTAGCCAGCCGACGAAACCAAGAAGGCATCTTCTTCACTGGCCTTGCTCGCCATCTTCTCTCCGCTCTTACAAAGGTGTCGTGAACTTTAACACGACGCAATTTCGCTGTATTACCTCGCTCAATTTACGCTCGACGAATCGAGTTGGCTCAAACACTTTTTTATCGCTGTTTTTTATGGATTTATTTTTAACGAGAATTTTAATGTAACGAAATTTAATGATAAGCATTTATACACTTAAAGGCAGAACAATTTAAGGATAATGTTAATTTGCTGATTAACTTTTGGAATTAAATTTATAAAAAATTTTACTTTATAAATATTCAAAAAATATACGTAAAACATATAAAAAATTGTAACTGTTCATATATTTAGATACAAATGTAACGATGCTTTGTTTTGCGCGCGCAAAAGAAACAATGACGACAGATTTTGCGAACAACGACCAGATTAACACAGTGATAAAAGAACGGGTGAAAAAGAATGACTAGCGCGATGTATCGCGCGCAAAAGTGCGAAAAAAAGCCACTCCCTGCCACTTGTGCGAAGGCGCATCTCATTTACCGCAACAATTAGCAGCTTAACGACGCAGGCATGCACGCGCGACACTATAACGAATGAGCCTCGTCGGAGAAATGCCGTCGTAGACAGAATAGGCGGAATCGTCGCCGAAATTTCACGTAGCCACGCCGGCGAGACCTGCAGCAACGAGATCCGTGGTTTACGCAACCGCCCGTGTAACCGTTGTAATTCAACCTTACAGCCTTACACTGCAAAGCAAACGCACGTGAGGTTACGCGCGGTATCACATACACATCCTTTGTACAGTAGCGGCGGAGACTTCCGTGATTCGCATTCCCGTGGCGCACATTGCCATTTTCGTATACGCTGCTCCGACGCTGCCCTGACGAAGCTGATTGTAACCGCTGCGCGACGATCGGTCTTGATTATTCTCGATTGTCGCTTACTGTCGTTATGAAAATATTATTTTAGATTTTATCTCGACTCATCTCCCAGCAGTTAGGTCGCGCGGTAACTTTCCAACGGGATCGCATCGCATTGAGAAGTGCGTGAGCCGGTGAAAGCGGCCGTTACGTGGGCGATACAAAGCGTTCGTATCTTCGTAATCCGTGTTTATGATCAAGGTTACTAGAATACTTAAAATTCGGTGTCTTTATGTAATATCGCAGTGGGTGAGATTTCATCGTTCCACATAATTTATTCAATTATAAAATCATTGCAGCGGATGGTGTTTTTTTTACATAAATCTTAACCAAATTTTAATTTTCCTGATTTAAATGTCCATAGGTGAAATTCGTCCGTATCGTTTCTTTGCACTTCTGCAAATACTCAGCATTTTTATTGTCACTTTCGCAGCGACGTCGTCGTCGTCTCGCGTGAATGCATAAACGAGGCAATTGTACACATAAGTGTACACATAAACTTTTCCGCATTGCGTAAATGCAATTGCTTGAAGTCGTCAGTCGCCCGAGTGCTGCAATTGCTGAGTTTTCCTAGTACGCGCGTGGAGAAACCGATTACATCGTCGATTAAAAAGATACTGGCGATAGTCGCGAAGGGAGGAAAGATGGAATTTTACTTCGTGGAGAATTTCATTTTGTGTTTCTGGTTTTTTTTTCTAATTCGATCAACGTGGATTAACACGAATTTAATTGTAATAGAGAAAATTAATTTTGTTACTGTGAAATGGATATTGTATTGTTCTAATTGGACACGCAAATATTCAAATTTCAAAATTGCCGATGAAAAATTGTTTTTATTTACGAAATTATTTTTGTTAATTAAATATACATACTTTAAAAATCAATAAAAAAAACGTTAATTGGATTTTATGTTTTTAGAAAAAATATTTGGAAAAAAAATTGTGGAAAAGTTTTTCTTTTTTTGCTGAAATTTTTACATTAAATTTTCGAAAATTTGTTGTTTAGTATTATGTTTCTTCATTATTTTATAGTGTAATATATTCTATTTCCTTATTGTATAATATGCTAAATTTTATTACATATGTTGGATATGATCGTTTATGCAATAGCCCATATATTTTTCTTTAATAAAAAAGATAGCTCGTAGTAGGAGAAGCGAAATGTTTGGAGAAATTTTTGAAGTATGGACGCATTTTTTGGAGAAAGATGATAATAAGTCACGATTACAAGTTAATTTATGGATGCGAATAGAATTCTAGAAAGCTGACGCGTTGCGACATGCACGTGGTGGATCTTTCCATCGTGATGTTACGTGATAATTTTTTAATTTTTACAAATGTCTTTTTTTTATACTTTACACAATTTGTTACTAAATAAAATTAGCATTTATCAAACAGAAACATATATTTTTATATGCATCCTACATCTTTCTGTTAAGCGTGTAAAAATCAATCTTTCTCTGCATCATTCTAAGAATTGATTATATTGCTAGGTAAAATTGTGACATGTATGCACTTTAGCTCCTTTATCATCCATTCTGCTTAAATACACATTGGTATTAATAGCTTTTCCATTTTCTTCGCAGACGACTGTCCAAACTGCGTGGACGAACACGGCGGCAGCTTGGCGGCCTCAAGATGGACGATGCCTCTGTTGAAGCTGGGCGAGAAGAGATACTACCTGGGGATCTTCTTCAAGGTATCGTTCCTGCCAGTTACGCTGATTTATCTGACCGGACCGTCGACCCAGCCTGGGTTGAGTCTCGGACTTTATCAAATTATTTCCGAGCTCGTAACTTTCCGGCTTTACCGTCACGGACGGTTTTACGGTGCATCGAATGTCGGAGACCCCGCGTAGTAAGGGTTTTTCCGGATAACAGTGACCCTGTATTAGTTACACAGCAAAGAACCTCGCGTGGTAAAAAAAAAAAAGGATGAAGCACATCGTTAAGAAACGAAATATTTGGTACGCGAAGAAAAATTGAAGGAAAACCTGGCAAACCTAAATTGCAAACGCCAAACTTGTACATTTTTTCTAAAAATTTTATAGTTATATAAATATATAAATATAAATAGGTATATAAATATAAATTAAATATAAATATAAATAAATATATAAATATAAATAGGGGTATATAAATATAAATTAAATATAAATATAAATAAATATATAAATATAAATAGATATATAAATATATTTAAACTACAATAATATTTCTTTGCCAAAACATATTTTGAATTTTAGCTTTTGCGAATTTCTTTTTAGTAATTAGTCCAATAATGTTAAACTTTAAAATAAAAACATTATTTGTAGTTTTAATTTAACTTAATTATATCGAAACATTTCTTTTCATGAAATTACGACATTTTGAAGGCGTATAAATCTTGATTTCACCCGTAATGCTGATCTCATGCGAGTCTTTCGAGAGCAGCATTCCTGTCTCTGACGTGTATAATGCGTATCCGTCCGCGCACGAACACAATCGTATCGATTAGACTCGCCCTTATTACGGCATCCCGGATAATCTAGGCGCTTTTATTGACTCGCGCGCTATTAACACGGATTTCGCAATTCTACCGGCGCTGCGGATCCGGCCGAGGTGGCCTCACCGCGTTCTCGCCGGTGATGGGTGGACGTGACGTAAAAGCAGTTTAAATGGGCTTTTCGCAATGAGGAGGGGGAAGGAAGTGGCATCTCTCCCTTCCTCTTGACCCTCTCCTTTAATCGGATCGCTCTGAAGACGAGCCCTCTTTGTTTTACGAGCAAATAATGGCTGGCACCGTGGCCGTTAATCGAGACCTTGCAAAACAACTCCACTCGTTGCCGGACGGTGACCGACTTTTCGAGTAAATTGACGAGAGATAGCGAATCTCGTGGTCCTCTTCACGACAGAAAGTGTCGCTTCTTTCACTTTCCAATAGTGAACTTATTTGAGTTAGGAAAGGAAGCAATTTCGGGCCGAAAGTCAAGTTTCTCGATTGCGCGCGTTCCGCTTATTCTCTTGCCGCTCTAATTAATTCGTCTATTTGATATATGTGATATTTGCTGCGAGATATGCGTCAACTCAGATACGTATATGTATTTAGGTGATCAACATAAGTTGATCCTGCTATAATATATCAAATTTACAGAATATTAATCAGTCAAAAGGAACTAATCGTAACTTGTAAAAAATTGAAAATTTAAATAACAGAATCTTTACATATGCTGTTTTTACAAATTTCAATTTTTTTTTATCATGTTCTTTGTCCGAGAAACTATGTTCTGAAGTAGAATTTATTAGAACTTATAGACAAAAGTCAATAACTTGCCATTGATCGTCACGTACGATTGCTTTCGTTTAGGGAGCTTAAGCGAAACCGTCGTATACGAATAACACGTACGCGATGGAGAGAGAAATGCAACAGCGGCAATGCAGCACCGTCGCGCCGCTCCGGTGCAATCGCGACAGCGTTCTATTTATTACACTTTATTTGCATTCTCGGCGAGCTACATGCGATTTTTCGCGTCCCTCGCGTTCCTTCTTCGTCCGTATATGTGCTACATACTTTCGGTCGAATCGTCGAAGGAATGTCGAAAAAACAACGACGAAATTCAATACAATTGACATTGACATAGTGAGGGGTAATATTTACTATGCTCTTAAATAAATTCTTTCTGATTAAATATAAACAGAGATAGCACATACAATATATATATGTATATATAATACTAAATAAAAATACGGAAACAATAAGAAATAATAATAATAATGTGATATAACACGCAAGATGAAGAAGAAAATTGTTGCAGTGATAACTTTGAGATTAAATATTTTAACATTTTACATTTTATTCAATTTTATGCTTTAGAATCTTATATCATATCATTTGGCAGGCTTAAAACTTTATTACGATATATTGAAATCTTATGTTCTAGAATTTTGTATTTTTTTTTTGTTTAAAATCTAATATTTCAATGCATCGAAGTAAAAAAATATAGATTCCAAAATTCTAGGTTTATCAAATGTTATGATAGAAGATTCTAAAGCATAAAATGTACATTTTAACATTCTAAGCCATCTCTAAAATTCGAGGCGTATCAAATGTTATGATATAAGATATATGTATATATAAGATCAGTTGGTAGTTAGGCAAATTTACATAAACATTAGCTACAGTATTAATTACCAACGATGTTAATTCAAGCAAACTTTAATTAGCATAGCGTTTAAAGTCTGTACAGATTCATTAATTTAAGGTTGTACAAATGCAGAATATAAAAAATACTCGTTAGGTTGCAATAAATACTGTTTTAACTTTTTACGTTTGTAAAAACAATACTTAAGAGTATCAAGAATAATGGAAAATGTAATAGAAGTAGCTTTAGCTACCAGCAAAGTTAAGTTAACTTGAAGTGATAGTCTCTCTCTTACAAAGTTATCACAACAATATACAGGGTATATCAAAAGTCACAGCCGTATGTTTAGCGGAAGTGCAATGCAGTTGTTGCATAAACGCGTTTCATAACGTCCGTATTGTTGTTTTATGGAAATTCAAGCAGATAATCCTGTCTCTCAGTAAACATGTATTATACGTTCTAATTATGCAGATAAGAAACTTTGAAGACCATGAATATCCACGTAGCGGCACGTGTGAAGTATACGCTCTGATCTTTCGTCATAATCTGACTTTTGCAATTGGATATTTGTTATTGCGGAAAAGAGATATAATATCGTTTTCAAGAATCTCGTAAATGCAGATAGATACATATGGCGTGTGTACGATGTGCGAAACAACTTTGTGTTTAAATGGCCGCTGGTAAGCGACAATGCAACGCGCTGTCCGGAAGTTTTCAACGATCGTAAAGGATTATCACCGATGAAACCGGGACTTCTTCGCACTTCTGCAAACATTCCATGGTCGTAAAAAGCACGTAACGCAGTGCGAATGACCGAGGTTACATGGTCGATACGCCGATATACGTATATAATGCTGTATATAATATTGAAATACCGAAATATAAATTCGCGCTATTCGCGCCGGATTTCTCTTAAGCTTATAAAATATCGTGACATACAAGTTATTGAAAATATTAGCGTTATAAGCGCACGAGGCAAGTTGGTACCAGATTAATAATTTTTTTTGTGCGGTTTTTGATAATTATAATGGATTAAGTACAAGATTTATATTAAAAATATTGTTATTGATCAGATTTTGTCTTATATTTAGCGGTGATCCAGTTTGGCTGAAATATAATCTCTTGCGTTTCATGATTAAACTACACTTTGGCGCAATTGCAGCGTTTTTGATTATTTATTCATTAATAAGGAAATTCCCGAATTGAAAAGTCTACTTGACTTGAAGCTTGTTTAAATGTCGTGTAATAATTTAGCGCGCTGTAATAGTAGGATTATTGACATGTCGAATAACAGGTTCCATTACATGTCAGTAATATTCCAAACATGTTCTCGAATATGATCTCCCGAAATCGATACCAGAATGGTGATTATGTAACCTTAGTGTGAATATTAATGTGCGCCCACAACCGTGTTGTCAGTTATTATGCTGATCAATCTGTTGTAATCAATGGCGAACATGTTATATGTGAATATTAAAGACGGCTTAATCCATCTCATAATTTACTTACATAAATTTCATCAACAATTCAAATGTTTCTCTTTGCTATAATTATTGTTGCGGCGTTTAACGCAGTTTGCATTACAGGATTTAGACACTTGCCTCTCGTAGTAACCTCTTTAACATAATCATTATTCATAGCGATTTGGTTTATTAACATTGTAAATTATTCAGGAACTATCTGATATTGGCCATTATTAATATTCAATGCGGAGAGCTTTGCGATAAATGTCAACGACAATGGGTTACTACAATGCATCAATTTCCCCTGAATAATTCACTATATATTCACTTCTTGCATAACATGCTCTGCATAACTGACGACGTAATTAAAAAAGAAAATGTCAGGATTAAATATCACCAAAGTATTTCTTCTCTTTGCAGGCGAACTGGTACAGAGCCTCGCAATACTGCCGTTATCACGGAATGCATCTGGCGAGCATAGCCTCGCAGGAGGAAAACGACAGGTTAGAAAAGCATATCAAGGACTTCGGTCTCGGTCACGAGCACTTTTGGACCTCCGGTACTGATCAAGCCGAGGAGGGAACTTTCTTCTGGATGGCTAACGGCAGGCCGATCACGTTCGAGAACTGGAACGTCGGCGAACCAAATAATTTCCGGTAAGAGTGCCTTACGATCGCGAACAATTTACATTCCTTCCGATACTGATCGCAGCAATTTCGTCTGCTCTTTCGTTGCGATATAATTGACATAAATCGGGTATTGAAAGTAACAGAATTAATTTCCGGCGATTTTGGTCCATTTTTATCGATGACGTTGCTTCTTGTGGAAAGAAAAAAAAACGTAAAAAAGGTAAATAATAAATTTTAAAGATAATAGTTTCTTAAAAATTTTTAAAATTAAAAAAAAATTAAGGAGCACAGGTTTGCAGTCAAAGTCGATGCATTAGGCGATTTATTTTCTCACAAATTTTCTGCGAATTTTATCTAGCAACCTTACTTGCCGTCTAGATACGAGAACGGCGAGGAGGAGCATTGCTTGGAACTTTGGAACAGGGACGGCAAAGGGCTCAAATGGAATGACAGCCCCTGCAGCTTCGAAACTTTCTTTGTTTGTGAAGTGCAGTGATCAATTTTACGGGAAAAAAAAAAGACCGATGAGAGGGACTAAACGCACGGGAATGTTCACGCGGCGTGCAGATTGTCGACTCGCGGCGTCTCCTCAAGGTGTTTCTCGAGGAAGCTGCGTATGACGTTCTCATCGGTTGTCCGTTCGTTTCAGTGGACTTAGCAAGGGAGCGGAGTTTAACGTGACGTGTGCTCGGACAGGAAACGATGCGCGATTAACCGTTTGCTACCGTTGTCACGTTTCACGTGCGCTCGAAATTCAGTGTGTGCATAAAACTACAGTTCAGTCGGAGTTCTTTTCGTAAAAAAATCACCAGGCGACAAACCCAGCGTTGAATAAATCCGCAGTGACGGAGGATAAAAGTGATTCACTCATCTTTTGTGCAGAGGCGGCGTCCAGGCTTGGCGTCAGGATTACGCGGTACGCTTAAGACCTTGCGCGCTTAAAAAGTTTTACTTTAAATTAGAAAGCAAATCTATAATTAATTCTACTTTTAAAAAGCACAAACCTTAACTTTTAGATATTTTTTTATATTTTTATATATTTTAATAGATTAAAAAAAAGATATATATAAGAATATATAATGATGATTTAACTAAATGTTGTATGAGAAGAAAATTATGTTAATTAATTAAGATTTAAATTTTTTTATTAAAGTCTAGTACCGCCTCTGCTTGTAAAGTCACTATATCGACGCATGAAATCTGTTACAATCGAATAAGCAAAATACTAGCAGTGTTGACAGATTGACAACAAATTTGATTAAATTTACTATTAATATGCCAATATTGCTAATATTTGGCTATTTGGATTAATATTGCTATCGGATATGATTCTTATGTTTGCATTAACCTTCTCTTTCTCTCATTAATAATATTAGATCGATTCTTTGATTACACTGAATCTGAGTTTTTGCTGTGTGGTGATACTATATATTGATTAATTAATTGTCCAATGAAATATTAGTAATATACATATTAACACTTTCTAATTATTACATAAATTACAACCAATGTGTATGCGCGAGAAATCAACTTAATCACGTATACATTTTGCAAATATATCTTTAATACTAAATCGAATTAGGTAATTATTTTAGTGATTAAAGTAGCGTGATCGAATAAATTTATCGATTTTATGCTCGAAATAATTAATCAATTCAAATTATTCTTTTTGACACTTACTAATTTCACAAGTGTGTGCAAAATTCCACCACATTCTATTTTATTTTTGTATCTTAGCATATGCCAACACAATATATAACATATATGTATATACATGTGCAGCTGTATATATTTACGCCACATACACACACACACACACACATATAATTACTTACACACATATAGATAGTGACTTGCAATAATGTTGCTAATAGTACGAATAAACCAAAAGACTCTTATACGATGCTACAATGCAATGTTGGTATTGAAAATATTGAAAATATACAATATTTACTGCGTGCATTTGTTAGTAAACAGTTCTCTCTAAAATGCGCTTTAATAGACAGCAATCGTAACCGTTACTATATTGACAATATCTTGACCATCCATCAGTATAACATTTTATTATTTAAGATTTTTGGATCTCTACATTATTGTTTTTTGTAGCTCCTCAAATTTTGAAATTTTTGATAAAATTTAGGATCTTCCTATCTTTAACTTATCTAGTCTCAAATTTGTGAAATCTAAGACTCCTCGAATTTTAAAATAAATTTAAAAACCAAATTTGATATTATTTAAATTTAAATTATTAGATTTTTAGGTGTTTTGAATATTCAAAAATTCATGGAACTTTGTGTTCTGATGTCTCTACATATTTACATTTTAAACGTCTTTATGTAACTTAAAGACGCAATTTAAATTTTAAATTCTATAATTTGAAATTTAAAAAAATTTTTTTCTTTTAGATCTAATTTGCTTTTTAGAATGGTGCATGGACTTCCAATTTTGTTCTTATAGATGAAAACGAGCTACATATATGGATGAATGAAAATATGACTTGTTCGACATTATAACGGTCGCGATCTGCGTTAATTAGGTCGCGGTATAAATAAGCGTCGTAATAGATTCCGGACGGACAGTAGTTAGCCGTCGTGGCAAATGAAACGGGAGTTCGTCGTTGCACTCTGTGTATTCGCCGTGCATCAGAAATTTCAAAAAGCAGCGTTGTACATGGCATTATTTAGTGTTAAATAATAAAATCAAAATTATGCTCCAATACACCTTTCATGATTTCTGTTTAACCAGAAATATTTACCGTATTTCCGTGTGTTATTAAAACTAATGATCAAACAGTCAACTTTTTTGATCACCACTGATTCTGCTGGTTTATTAACAAAGAACAGATAACACGCATTTTTATATTAAATATAATTGCGAAAATTGGCTTTGAATTATGCATTATAGCAAATCTCTTAATTAATTATTAAATCATTTATCATATTTTCTGTTAAATTCCGCGCTATGCATTATTATTAATCCATTTTCGAAATTGTTCCAGTAAAATATTAGTCTTCGTAAATTATTTGGATTGAAAATGCGAGAATTGAAAATGACAAAAATTTATTAAATATTGTGTTACACTTACTATACATTGATCTGAAAAATAATAATTTTGATGATTTATTTATTTTGCAATTTTTTGGTAGATTTTATAGCTCGTTTAATTAAAGTTAAATTTTTTATGATAATTGCAGAGCAACGTTACCGTAGTTCCGTAGCGAATCTTTTCGACTGACATGAACCACGCTTCAATGTTTCCTGTTCCCATCTCAGCGAATCCCACTTCCACTCCTTGTCTGAATTGACAGAACCAATTAGTAGTTCCGTCGATTTTTCGCCATCTCCGGGAAACAACAATACCCTCGAGAGGAAGAAAGTGAGTCGATGGAAGAAGAAAACAGAAGAAGACGAGAAGGCTGTTAAATCCAGAGGATAGAGTAAGCAGGTAAGAGAAAGATCGCTAATGATGAGAATTCCGTCATCGATACACAAATATAACATTGCATATAATGTTTCTGTTATCGAATAAAATAAATTTTGCTGTAAGCTCGCGTCTGTAATTTTCTACAGCAAAATTACGCAGCATTGTTCAACATCGAGCGAGGTGCATTACATGCGCTACGATACATAATATTTTTAACGTATTTTATATAAAAGACGTAAAATATATGAATTAATATCAATTGAAAACAATTCATTTCTGTGTTATCGGATATTTAATTTTTTATATAATTAATACGAAGCATATTTCTGTTTTTTTTTTTCTTTATATTGGGGCTCGGAAACATGATTATAATATCCGTTTATGCAAGATAATACGTTCGCGCATAAACGTTCGGGATAAACATTTTTCGTATTTTAGGTGCCAACTAAATCTGCTAATCATTCTCATTTCTTTAAGTACGGACAGAAAAACTGCATGAAAAAGAACGAAACGTATACTATTTTGGGTATATTTAGATTCGTTTTACTCGTGCCGTTGAACCGCGCGGCTATAACGAGCAATTTATGCCAAGAGACTTTATTTAGATGGCAATAAATGCAGATTCGCTGGAGAAACCGGGTTCCGTAGGGGGTCATAAACAATGTACAGTATGCAACAATGCACACACAATGCAATAACAAGGCCACTCTTGTTCTTTATGGCGCGAACCTGTCGTAATACGATGCACGTGAAATCTTTAACGTCTGTGTCCGCTGTGCTGGTGTGTCCGAGTTCTTTGATTTTTATCAAGAGACCATTGCGCGATTCTTTCGTAGAGTTTCACTTGTGTCGATGCTGCTACGGTTGCGGAACGGATTCGCAGCGATAACGCGTGAATGAGAGAAAAATTGCGCATTTTTATGCTAGATCTGAAGTAAATTGCAAAACAATCTGGATTTATGAAATTAATATCTTGATTTTTATCATGTAAATCTCAAGTTGCAATCATGGAAAGTACGATGTCTTTACATTGTTATGTAGGAGACACGTAATGTAGTTTGTTTTGTGTTTCATATGTTGTTTGCATAACTTAGATTTGCCAATTTTTGATGATGTACAGTTATATAGCATGAATTAACATTTATAAATAATTTTTTTAATAACAGTATTTTTAGCATATTGATTTATTTCAATATTAGAAATATATATATATATAAATAGTAAAACAAAAATTATTAATAATATTTATTTTCTCTTTATGTATTAGAATATTTATTTTCTCTTTAGCATAATACGTTTATAATTATTAAAAATTTTAAAAATTTAATTTACCAGAAAATTGCAACTTAAGTACTTTACTTATGTTAAATATATCGGTGACCGATATCGACGCTGTGTATGCTACCTTCTGCTGCACAACTTCTGTTATAATAGTTTCTATTATGTGGCTTTAGCTTGGAGCGCAAATGAATATTTGCATGAAATATTGCATAATTTATCGATTAAAAGTACACAAATGGAAATTTTTATTAAGAATGCAAAAGGCGATTATTGGAATGTATTATTTACCGCGGACGTCCTCAATATTTTCAATTAATAATGTTTCATCGATCCGTACTGTGAATTGCAATCGATATAATATTTAGTGAATATATTAAACTGCAATTATATAAATATAGGCTATGGGCGCACGGTGTACCTTTTATTAGATGCAATATTTTAAACATTAATTGTTGAAATTTATATTGAATGAAATATAGCGGTAATACATGCATAAATATAGGAAACACATTCATAATTCTTTCTTATCTCTAATTAACATTCATAATTACTATAAGAAAATATTCATAATGCAATCAATCATATTTATTATCAACAATCGTTATTGTCGCCCAACTTCTGCAAAATCAATAAACGTTAGCCACTGACGTTAGCTCTCGCTTCATTTTCTTGCTGTTATCAACAATCGATGAATCAAGAAAATGCATATCTACAACTGATAATCATAAATTGAAAATTGGAAATATCTACATAAAATAAAACATAAAAATTAAATAAAATGATTTAGCTATTATAATATAGTAAAAATTACAAATGTGAAAGTTGTAATGCATATTAAAAGAAAATTTAATTTTATCAATATATTAATATTTTTTAAGAATTGGAAAATTTATTGTTAGACATTTCTTAAGCGTTATCTGCGTCATCTGTTTCTTAAGATATTTCTTTAGCGTTATCTGCTAGTCGTTTATGCTGATGAATTTTAATCTATTGCAATTTCTGATGCATTTCAGCATATATTGCAATATATGCTAATTATTCTAATTTTATATACAAGATAACAATGAGCAACAAAATATGTGGAAGGATAAAATTTTATGAAGAATCACAGTAAAATATATAAAACAACAATGTTTTATTGGAAACAACATACAATCACATGCCACGTATGTTCCTTATAAGCCCTTATCGTTCACGCGTTTTTCGCCAAGGCGTGCACGCTACGAACAAATACAAATGCTCGAAATTCGCGGAGCAACCCCGTTCGTCCCGTTCGAGTTTCACCCTCGCCCTTTCACTCTCGTCGCGGAACTCACGAATGTCATCGTCAGATTTGAGTTGAAATTTTACTTCTTGACATCATAATTCTTGAGTCCTTTTACTCTCTCTCTCTCTTATGTTAGAAACACGAATACAATTTTCCGAGCCCCAAGAGTGGCAGACGGAAGTAGAGACAGAAAAAGAGGGTGAGGGAACTCTTGCCACAAGAGCTCCAATCGCGAGGTTTTATTTCCAAGCCACATTTACTAAAGGGCTTGTCTAAAGGGCTAATCCTAAAGGATTCTCTCTCTTTTTTTTTTTCTTGCTAATCCTAGTCCTCGACAACGAAGACGGAAAGCGAGGACGAGAGGATTCATCGAGCGGAGGAGTCCTCCTTTTATGTACAAGTACACCGAGTACGATATACACACACGAGTTTCATATACCTTTGGTATACACATATTCATATGATACCTCTAATTGTGATGTCACAGCAATCTTTTCGGTTGGCACAAAAAGGCGCGTCCCTTCACGCTTAGGTGCGACGCCTTTCATGGTTTCATAGTATCTAATCTAGGACTCGAACATTTTCTTTTTTACGATAATACACTTCAGGGGTATAGCCGCAACTGTTTCAATGCAGCGATCGCGGGTTATTTAAGTCACTGAATCCTTCATTGATTCGCGCGAGTACATTCCTTGGGAATAATTATTGCAGAGATAATATTTTTTATTTACACATAATTTAAATAAAAGAATGTAATTTCTAAAAAAAAAAAACTAAAAGGAGTTTTTTGATTAATGATAACAAAATAAAATTGATTACGTCTTAAAAGTATGCTCTAATTACTTGGTTGCCTCTAAAATGAAAATTTTTGGACCATAAGTCGCTGAAAAGTGGCGTTTTATCATTCGTTGTATCGATCCTCGCGCAATGCAACGTAAGTTCGCAATTCAATGCGATGTAAGTTAATAATTTTTTATGAAAAATAAAAATAAGATTTTTATGACAATTTATATATAATTTTTATTTGCTATATATTTCGAAAATTTTATTAATTTGACGGGACATTAATGTCTTCGCGAGATATATCAACTTGCCACAGAAAAATTGTCATACATAATTTCTTGTGGTATGACATTAATATCATTACGTTTTTGATCAAACAACTATAATTAATCGGCTTAATTGATATGATTTCATTTATCATATACAAACTTCTACAAACTATCTCTTAGATTAAAAAATATTTCTCTTCTTTCAACGCAACAAAATGTTCTTGTTTAAACATCCTATCTTAGAGATCGTGATCGAAAGAGTTTCGGCTAGCAATAGAAAATTTGAAAGGCAAGGGATTTTGAATCTGACATTATGAAAGGAAGTCGATTGTTATCTATGCTTGGTTCGGGGAAGTTCAGCGTATGTCTAATAGTTACAAGTGTATGGAGATTGCAGCGACTATCATACTGGAAATTATTAAGGCCGCTATTTCGTGTGTGCGCACAGTGATTTTTACGGAGTTTCGTAATCTCTCTGATTGACGAATCGTTGTCAGTGATAGATTTCATGTTGTCACAAGTACCGCTCGTGTTATCTATATTGCAATTGAGTCATACAATAACTTGAATTATACAATTAAAAGAATTTAAATAATATTTTGATCGGTTTTATAGTAAAAGTTAACTCCAATATGTTTTATCAAATAAATTCTACAAATCGAGAATTTGTGGAATATTTTGCACTTATTGCTTAGTGTATAATTCAGGTTTATGTGTAACTGACATTGCAGGACCGTAAAGTGAGCCTAAATTGCAGTAACGGTAACAGTACACTACGGCGAAGATTGCTTTTGGAATCATCTAGCATTAAAAAGTTTATTGGCGAGCAACAGGAATCTTGCGAATAATAAAATTGGCGCCAATAAAATAAATCATCCTCTTAGATAGTTTCAAACAATTGCTATTTGCATTATCGTGCAAAGTTACTTACGCTAAAGCAATCTAATTAATTTTTGCGAATAATCTCTCATTTTACCTGATTCTTTTAGTGACAAGATCACATGTTGCGAGAAACATAAAATTCTACACAAAGACATTATTTTCTATTTTTATAATTTTCAATTATAATGACCCACGAGATGGAGCAGAGTACTTCTGATAAACGCGAATTGATGCGTATCGTCTTATAGTCATCGATTTCAATGTCTTGCTGTTCGCACGCTGCATTGCCGTGTGATATTTTACCGCCAATAAAAACTAGTTAAAAGTTAGGCAGTGTCTGAAGAATATATCTCGCTCCCCAGATCAACAGTGACTGCTTTAACATCACATTTCATATAAAGGCCCACGGTATATATATATATATATATTCACATATAAAATTAATCAATTAAATCGTAACGCGCGTGGTATTTAATTACCGTGTTAACTAACGAATGTTCAATTACATGTGCACAATTACGGTGATCCAGATTCACTGGACGATATCGAAAGAAGCGACAAAGAACATATGTCACAATTATTCCATAAGATTAATTTTTATCACGCTCACATCGATTCTTGCGTGTTAATTACAATTAGTCGATAAATCAAATCCTGTGTGTGATTATTTCATCTTATTAATAGCTCAAATGACTTAATATCGTAGGTCACTAATCATCTCGCGCCGACGCAAATAACTGGTGCCGGGTGATAGCACGCTCGATTAAGAAGGCTATTGTCGACTTAAACATATTTGAAAACCTTTCCGCGATATAGCGGGGAGCTTGCAAGCTTGAGCGATCCGCGAAGGATCGCGAGTGCGCACACTCTACGAGGAAAAGACCGAAATGCGGGGCATTTTGCATTCGCGGAGAATGGTCGCTCGAGTGAATTAACATAATTGAGTGGCAGAAGGGCGGAGGGGGAAGCAAGCTTACCAGTGCACGTGGTGGGGAATAGCAAAGATGATTTCGCTGTAAAGTGAAGAAAAGCCATACGTATGGAAAGTTCTCGCATATGCAATCGCATGCGGATGCACTCCGAGATCTAGAAGGATTTAAGATCCTTGTCATACATCTTCACATTTCACTTAGGTCCATGAGAGGATTGAATACATTCCACACGCTCACACGTGAACTTTCAACATGGAAATGAAAGCTCACCTACGAGAAGATCTGATGTATACAAGGATCTTATGGTTAGAAGCTTAATTAGCATTATAACGGCTTGGAGCTGGCAGTATTGGTGTAGTCAGCTATTAAAGTACTCAATGCACACATTTACATTTGTAATATACGAAATGGCTCGAACATCATCTGCGTATTTTTTACTTTATCCATTTTATATAAATTTTTCCAGGGACGTAAAATTTCTTCAAAGATATATTGTATATGTGTGTATACGTGTAGAATAATAAGATTGATAATATTAATAATAATAATAATAATATTAATGAAATATACTTTCAACATTCCTGAAGGAGAAATTAAGCCGATAACGTTACAATTATTATTACGCGTACGCAGAGTTCTAATCAAATTAAATAATTTAAGGAATAAAAAAAGAAAAAAAAAAATTAATTTTGATACTCGAAAAATATTATACATAATTTTCCAAAATAATTAAATTGTAAATTTTTTTTTGCGTGTGTAATAGACGTGCAAATATATCTTTAATGTCTATCATTAATGACGCAAATGTTCGAGCACATAGAAACTCGAGCGACCCTGCCGGCTCCATTATTATCATGTGACGCATTCGAATACGCTGTGTCGATACTCTTTAGGAATAATTACTTGCACTTGACTTAACAACGTAACACTTCCTTTTATCTTTAACAACAACAGTAACAACATGTTCTTCTCTGATAGCAACGTATTTTCTCTTAAAATTCTCAGGATGACGAGGATTCGTCTTTCAACTCATCCATTCACACATGTCGCACGATAATTAGTACGAATAATTGATGATTTTACAAGAGCAGATGAAATAAAGCGGAATTTTGATCGTATGAGTGTCCCGTAGGCCAACGAAACACGCTCCGATTTTCATTTTTTCCGCTTATAACTTTGATATGCATTGCAAGCTTAAAGTGTTATTTTCAAACTGGGTATCAAACTGGGGAAAAATAAAATAAATAACAAAATCATATATATACATTTCATATTATAACAATTATATATAATTATAATTTATAATTTTAGATTGCTACATATTTTTATTTTATTAAATGATAAAGAAAATTATCCACTAAAAATTGAAGAAAAATTTATTTAGATTTTTGATATTTTATTTGATAAAAAAAAAGAACACTAGCTTGCAGTGCATTTTTATAGCTCATACGATTCAATGCGATTATGTACAGCGATGTAAGTCTTAAAATCTTAATTCTAATTGTCGAATCCGATGCGCACGTGAAACCCGACTTTGCTCGAGGGTTTTTTTTTTGTTCATTATCTCGAGTTTATCATCCATTGCGGATTGCCAGGACATCATGTCAAAGATCACGACGACAGTCTGCCTCCTCTCAAGAATATTAAAGATTTATGCAATCTAGAAAAATTTATGTAGAGCTCTTGGAAGTATTTGAAGAATGCATAATAATTCTTATTGATTGATCGCTTTACCACATATCCGATATAAACCACGATTTTAGGCACCGTCGTAAGAGTACAGATATAAAACATTTCACATTCACCAATTCTCCATTTGTAATCTTTTTGATTCGCTGCATCCACGTTGTTTCATCTGTCTTTTTTTTTTGTTATTGATTATGTTTATTCTTATTAATTACTTTGTCCGATTTCAAGTAACGTAAGAGTCCTGACTTTCCGCCATACGCGCGCATTGTGGCTCGATTTTTCATCTTATATTTATATATTATTTTTTGTTTGAGCATATTACGTCCTCAAAGTAGGTTTTTCTTTAGAATATTTCATTATTAACCATATTAAATATATATATATATGTAATACTATATATATACCGATTCATTTACACTAACTTTATCCAACATACATGCTTAGGTATCATGTAGTTATCTCGTATGGTACACATTGACATTTTCCATCAAGATATTAATTAAGTTTTCAGTTTTTGGATTCTTCTGCGTTGTCCGCATTCGACGTATCACTGTATGACACTTATTTGGAAACTGACGCAAGTTCATATAAAGCTAAATGTGTCCTTTTTAAAAGATTTTTAGGAATTTTATAACTATCTATTGCATTGTTGGTGCCTGAATAAACGTGTGCCTTTTCTTTTGCGAGTGGCTTTGGTTCCAGCTATCACGTAACTTTTTATTGAGGTTTTTCCAATTATTCTTGTATTAGAATTAAAATAGATAAAAGTGTCTCACGGATAATATCACGCTTAATCATTTCTGCTTTCTATTCCATTGTTGAATACCCGTATAGAGTGTAATATATACTTTTTAATTTCTTAGAAATTTTGCCCACTAATGAATGATCTTTAATTGTGAAAATGTATGAATATTTAACGAAAAAGCAAAGGATGGGAACTAATTGTTTCAATGAGATAACCGCATCTCAAAGTATTCCACAAGGATTTGAAATTTCATTCAATTGTCGAATAGTTAGGGCATCAACAATACTTCAAGATCGATCATCCAACGCATAGATAAATAATTGCGAGATGTGTCCAGACGATTTTAGGCACGGATTGAAATTTTGAAAAAAACAAAAAAAAATCTGCGCATACACACAGTTACTCGAGCACGAAACATATCGTTCGACATCGACGACACGATTCCCTGTTATTGATTATGCATTAAAAACTCCATCCAATTTGAAGGCCGCAATCTGGCTTGATTATCGAATGTTCCTCCGAACATCTCACGAAGATTCAGCAGCTTTTGAAAAACATTTTCCTCGCAGTCACCGTCGCACGAATGCACAAGCGCTATGCGAGCGCATTCCTTCCAGTACACTTACTCCGAGGGACACAAAGAACGCATTTCTCGGGAGCGTGACGTAAATGCCAACAACGAATATACTTCTTCGAGTTAGAAAATATCTTCGAGTCATGGCGTTGTTTCTTTATTTTTTTTTGTCGCTAGTCGACTCTGGATCATCGACAGGCACTGACGACGTTCTTCCTCTCGTTGTTCCGCCGCGCGCACAACGGCAGTCTCCGAGGATCGATATCAACGGATCAGCGTCTTCGTCCGAGCGAGAGGATGATGTGGGTGGGACTCGTTGTTCGAGGCAGGAGCAACAGGGGGCGATTTCTACATCGCATGGTTTCCGGAGTATTTGAGGGCCTGCCAGTCTGTCCTACGCGCTTCCGCTTTCGGCGTTGCGCGATTAGGCGACTGCACCCGATCCTCTTACGATCACAGAACTGTTTCCATTTCGGCGATTTCCGTTCTGGTTGCATCATCATCCGGAATCCTATGAACAGCAGCTGCTTATTCTTGCGAGCACGCAAAGTGATCTCGAACGAATTTGAGATAAACGAAATGATAAACGAAAAGAAGTTAGAGGTTAACAAATGTAACATAAATTTAAGTAAAGTAAAATCTTTATAGAGATCTCATGCAATCTCTTTTGCAATACAGATTACACTTTGTGTTACTGAATTTATCGGATTTTGATGCAACGCCAGATAATTCCTCGTTGCCTTTACCTGTAAATCTCTGTGGGCAAGAACCTCTCGGCGTATTCCGTGCTGACCACATGGTTCCTGCTCATGTCTCTCGGACGGGCAACTTCGACAGCGTCGATGTACCTGAATATAAACGATTGAGTGTTATGTCATCATCATCGTAACGAAAGTTTGCCTCCTACACGTATAAAGTAAACTCGATCATGCTCTTCGTCTTTGTCTTCATCATCTTCGCCCCTGTCAATTCGCCCCGGCCTTTTCCCAATATCCCCCACACCCCGAATTAATTTTCTCCTCGCAACTCCTCGTCTCACCGTCATTGCCAGGCATTATAGGTAATTAATCGATTAATCGCCACCGTCGGTAATTACCTACAATGTACAACATAGGTACACCGACACGCCTACATCATTACCTAGTGTTCTCCTCATGAAACTTACATGCCATGCTCTCGACGATGCACATTAAAGAGAAATCCGTGATAATAAAAACGACATGAAAGTGTGTGAGCGGAAGATACTTGATACGTGTAACTTATGCAATACGATCTACTGATCTACAAGAAGCAAAGCGGCTATACCTAATCTACAATCCCTGTTATTTCTACCTATTAGTTCTCTCTAGGCGAGGCTTGCCGTCGATCCGCGTGACGCTCGGCGTCTCTTTTTGTCCCTCCTTCCTGCGCGTTTTTTCTTTTCATTATTCCAGGGAAAGAGTAATCAAGAGCGTGACGTAATCGCGCGAGTTTACGAAACAACAGAGCCTCGCGGGATCGCGAGAGTCGTGGCAATATATATTGTATCAACGATCGATGCGACGATCTTTCTCTACACCATGTGAACCGATTGCAGTGACGTAGGAACGTTACTGAATGCAAAATGTGAGGTGAGGCCGATGTAAATGTGTAATGAGCGAAGCTTCGATGCTTTCAATGTATAATGAGCGATAGAGTCTTGCCACAGCTCCCTACAAGGCAACGCATCAGCAACGCGATATATGTCCCTCAGCCTGATTGTTTGAAAGAAAATAGCGGCTCATAGGCAATCGAACAGCGTACACTTAGGTGTTTTTTGCGTATCTGTGTCAAATGTGTGTGTGTATATACTGTTACCAATTATCCGAAGATGATTCAATATTACTGGCAGGACTTTCTCGTTCGGTCAATTTATAATTTACTGAAAATCGAGATATTATAAAGAAAAGAACTTTATGAAAAACTTTAACGAAGAAGGGAATATTCTGGTAGTAGTTCCTACGTCACTGAACGTTGTTACGTGTGGTTTGTCGTTGCGGACTTACGAATCGAAGTATGGCGGTAGCGGATGCGGAGCTTCCACCGCCAATGGCTCCGGTTGTGAAAGGGGGTCCGGGCTCTGGAAGCACCCTCGCCACCAGCCGAGACTTCCGGTTTTCCTCCTTTAAAAAAGCCGACGTGGATATGTGCCAGACTCCCTTCTCACCCATCGTCGAACCACCAATTATCGTTTAACATGGTCCAAACAAATCCTTCCTCGTTCGTTCGACACGATACCCCGGAATAACATCATATGCAACACTCGCGTGGAAGGTTTTTTTTTCTCTTATTTAGAACGCGACGCGCAGATAGATTCATTTGTAACGAAATAAGAACAGATTTTCCAATTATCTACGCAGTGAGCGTGTGATGCCGCAGACGGACAATAGAGAAAAAATCAAGTGCGCGTGCTAATCGAAAACGATATTAACGTACGTAAGCGTAAAAATGTACACGATGTATATACATTTTACCAAAAGTAAATAAAAATGGCAAAGCGTACGTTTTCAATGGAATATCTAAATAAATCTTCATGCAAGTAATATTTGTCCCATATCTCTCCATGAAGAATCAAATTGAATTTTGCAATGTTAAAATAAATACAAAAGACTTGAAAATCATCACAAATATATAAATGCACAATTTGTTGAAAATTTTCAATATTTGGAAATTAATTTCTAGAGAGATACATATTTAAGTTTGTATTTATTGAAGCACCGCAAAAATTAATTATTTTGGTACCTAGTGATAATCATATACAAAATTAATATTCTATAAGTATTGTATTAATTAAACGATATTAATAATCTTAACAAATTAATATGAAACAGTTTAAAATAATTTCACATTTCGGTATTATTAATTACATAAAATATATAATTTTATATTTCTGCCTTATTACAGATTTAATATTGCGTCATATGTGTGCTAACATAATATAGCACGGCTCGCGCAATATTGCGAAGAGAACTCTTGTCAGCAATAAGACATTAAAGCGCGATAGGATTTCTACGCGATATTAAAAGACGTCGATACATATTATACGCTCCGTCGAAAACGCACGTTTTGCCCTATATATTATTAGACAGGTGCATGCTATGCGAGCAAAACTTCAAGTGACTTTAGAAAGTAGGTTACTACTTAAGCTCGGTCCGGGAATCAAATTTGTTCTTTGGGACGCACTCTTACGCATTCTCTCATTGTTGCTACAACAATGATTTTCGTAATGATTAAGCTTGGAAATAAGCTTATAAACTTTCAGAAGAACCGAGCGTAAGTTCGTTCAAGATATTACGAAAGACAGGTAGAATAACTGTAGAACAACAGCATGCGTAGACTTTTATTACGGGTCCACTTCCGCTTTGCGAAGTAATTTCCGGAGAAAGGTATGGAAGGATAAAGAGACTCAAAAGAAAGCTTTCTAGAATAAAGGCTTCCAGTTTCGAAGATGGGAAAAACAAGCGACAGCACTTTGCGGAAAGTATCGTTCGTGAAAGCGTAATCGTAATCCAACGAAGTGAAATGTATCATGTCGGCTGATTTGAATGTCGTTTTCTCCCGTGCAAACTTTTGACTCAATCTGTATTAGGCTTCGAGTATACGGGCGATTTAAATCGCGTCACTGAGTAGCGCAATCGAGTAGCATCTCCGATTTTTCATATATTTATATTAGATCTTGGCACACGAGCGAAAGCAGTCGCGATAGTGGCGCTATTGTTCTACTCGATCGCGCTACTCAGTGGCGCGATTTAAATCGCCCGTGTACTCGAAGCTTTAATCTTTTAATGCTGGCTGTACCACAAATTTAATTTTAATTTAATTTTTCCAATGCATTGGTTACTGTTGATAAAAATTAGTGTAAAAGTAATATTTTTCGTAATATTCTATAAAGTTAAATAATTTTTATCTTTTTAGCCGTTTCATTTATTTTTATGAAATATACGTAAATGTACATTCCCAAGAGCATCAACGTTCGCAGATTAGAAATAAAATCGAGTTTAAAATATAATCTCATTTTTATTATATTGCGTTGAAATTGGGTGGCAAGTTATTGCAGTTAAAATTATACATTATTGATTCACTTTCAACTTGTACAGCGTACGCTGAAAAAATCACGATATTTTTTACTCACAATTGCTGTCAAGATTGTCAATATATCAGTATTTAATTTTTATTTTACCACTGTAACTGCGTTCCATTTTGATTTTGCAAATTCCGACATTAAAAGATTAATCATATCGGAGAGGATCCCGATATAGACATTCGACACAAATTCCGAGGCAATTTAGCCTTGAAATTTGCGAACTACGCTTACTACTTGAATAAAAAGGAATAAAACTGGCCGATTAAAACGGAATTGATCACGAGGGAACGTCGTCTCATCGGATATTAAGCGACCGAACGCGAGGCTAATTGAATAGCACAACTGATCACTTGGACGACAGGTCTCTGTCTTCGTAAATCGTGCGATTCAACCCGATTAACCTTGAGCGACTTCACGTTCAATCGCACTGCGAATATCCGGCGCAATCGAGTACTTTCATAGCTTAATACGGAATTAGGCGGTATTAGGAGGAAGATGAAACGTACTTGGTTTGGGTGGGCTTTATTCCGT